CATTAAAAGGTTCTTTAATTCCTCCTCACTTTCTGCCATCAAGGTTGTGTCATCTGCATATCTGAGGTTGTTGATATTTCTTCCGGCAATCTTAATTCCAGCTTGGGATTCATCCAGCCCAGCCTTTCGCATGATGTATTCTGCATATAAATTAAATAAGCAGGGAGACAAAATACAGCCTTGTCGTACTCCTTTCCCAATTTTGAACCAATCAGTTGTTCCATATCCAGTTCTAACTGTAGCTTCTTGTCCCACATAGAGATTTCTCAGGAGACAGATGAGGTGATCAGGCACTCCCATTTCTTTAAGAACTTGCCATAGTTTGCTGTGGTCGACACAGTCAAAGGCTTTTGCATAGTCAATGAAGCAGAAGTAGATGTCTTTCTGGAACTCTCTAGCTTTCTCCATAATCCAGCGCATGTTTGCAATTTGGTCTCTGGTTCCTCTGCCTCTTCTAAATCCAGCTTGCACTTCTGGGAGTTCTCGATCCACATACTGCTTGAGCCTTCCTTGTAGAATTTTAAGCATAACCTTGCTAGCGTGTGAAATGAGTGCAATTGTGCGGTAGTTGGAGCATTCTTTGGCACTGCCCTTCTTTGGGACTGGGATGTAGACTGATCTTCTCCAATCTTCTGGCCACTGCTGAGTTTTCCAAATTTGCTGGCATATTGAGTGTAGCACCTTAACAGCATCATCTTTTAAAATTTTAAATAGTTCAGCTGGAATACCATCACTTCCACTGGCCTTGTTATTTGCAGTGCTTTCTAAGGCCCATTTGACTTCACTCTCCAGGATGTCTGGCTCAAGGTCGAGGTTCTCAAAGCAGTTCTCAAATTCCTTGGCATAGGGTTCTTTTATTTTAAGCTTATGTTTTTTGCACCTACCTGGCTCCACTTGGTGGATCTCTGTGTTCTAGGAAAACCAAAGTGGATCCTGCAAGCCTGAAGTTTGTCTGCCCCTGCATAGAATATGCAATGCAATATTTATCCTGGTTTGCTTGTGGAGTGTTTATTAGCCTTTCATTCATCCCACACTTTTCAGTCCATTTCTCTGACACTTTCCAAACTGCAAAAAACTTACCTTTTTTTAAAAAAAAGTGGATTTGTTCGGCTAGGGCAACAGAGTCCTTTAATATACTTTAGCAGCAGAAACCTAACATTCTGGGTATGTGCATGAAACCATCTTGGAAAATAGTGACAATCTGGAGGTGCTACTTTGTTCCTTTCCACCAGACACTTTGAGAGTGTGAGTCACTCCCATTCAGAAAAATAGTGACTCACACACAGGGACAGAATGCTAGGAGAACTTAACCAAGACTGCTTTCAAGTCCAATCCAACACAACACAAGCTGGGCATTAGCCAATGTATCTAGAGCAGGCTTCGTCAACCTCAGCCCTCCAAATATTTTTTGGCCTACAACTCCCATGATCCCTAACTAGCAGGACCAGTGGTCAGGGATGATGGGAATTGTAGTCGCAAAACATCTGAAGGGCTGAGGTTGAGGAAGCCTGATCTAGAGCATGTTTTGCACTCATGCTATACCACAGGTTTACTTACTACTAAATAACCAATGGCAACCTCCAGACAAGTTTTTTATTGTGCATCCATGATGATTTGGGTTTTGGGGTGGTTATACATGATTCTGTTTTCAATATCCAGCGCCGAGGGCCTTCTGGCGGTTCCCTCATTGCGAGACGTGAGGCTACAGGGAACCAGACAGAGGGCCTTCTCGGTAGTGGCGCCCGCCCTGTGGAACGCCCTCCCATCAGATGTCAAAGAGATAAATAATTACCTGATATTCAGAAGACATCTTAAGGCAGCCCTGTTCAGGGAAGTTTTTAATATGTAACGCTGTACTGTTTTTAACACTGATTGGGAGCCGCCCAGAGTGGCTGGGGAAACTCAGCCAGATGGGCGGGGTATAAATAATAAATTGTTGTTGTTGTTGTTGTTGTTGTTTGTGTCATGTCTCTGATACACAAAATATGGTGTGTAGATTCATTGTTCAATATGTGTGTTATATGTTTTATTTTCTAATTTGTAAAAAAAACCTACATTATTAATTTTATCTGCATTATTTAGAGTATGCTTGGCTGACGAAGTCCAGCAGGGCAAAACAAGGTATTATTCCGGGAATTCTTGTCACGTTTAAGTTCTTCTGTCTGATACCAGCAAACAACATTTTGCAAAGGCACATGTTAAGATGTTTCGTATCCTTTGTCTGATACCTGCATACAGCAGCTGCATACAACAACCATACTTTGCAAAGGCAGATGTGTAACATTACAAGGAAAAGTTCGTCTTTTGCAAGTACTGCTTCTTAAAAGTTGTTACGTTTGACACTGGTATTCGCTAAGACATACGTGGAACAGAAAAAGCTTTTATTTGCACATTACGTTTAAATAAACTGATTCATTTGTACATACATGGAATACAAAAGCTTATCTTTGGACATTACATATATAAGAACTGATCTATTTGTATTTTCTGTTCTAAATGTTGGTCCTTAATTGCTTCTACTCAACTAGATAATGTGAAAAGATCTATGTTTATATGATGTATAAATAATTTATATAGTTAGATACAGCCAGTTACATTGTGGGTATATTTGAACAGTTCTTACCATCAGAAAGTAAATGCATATAAAATAATTATAGTGACTATTCACGAAACACTGATGAAACCTCACAATAACACAAACATCTGGGTACTGGTGAGCTAATTAGCAAGTGCATTAAACCAAGGGTTGGATCCAGATTTTAAGTTGGCCACGCCTAACTTGTCCGACTGATTTCAGTGTAACTATAAAGTGTGACTTGGTCTGGATCAAAGCCCATAGTTCTAGCCCGCCATCTAGCGGACACAGTCCTTCAACTCTCTTTTTCATTTAGATTGCTTTTCTGAAGCTTCTTTCATCTCAAAAGATCTGAAAGCTCTTTTTCTGGCTTGGTTAATTAAGCAGGCCCAGCCATGAGAAAGATCAGTATCACCTAACCTGAGACAAATGAAGAAGCAGTTTCACCTCAGGGTCACATGGAAGTCAAGAGCAAAGACCAGCCTCAGTGACTCCTATGACTTACCGGTACTTCTAACAAGGAGGAAGAAACCTGCCACACACACCACACAGCTCTCCCAGTGTTGTGGTGTATCTGTGTGCATTATACAGTTACAGAGCAAAGACAGGCGCAATCTCTTATTGCTTCGGGAAAGCCCTGGGGAGAAGGGGACATAGAGGCTGGAGGGAGGCAGGGACCTCTAGTCTCGGCAACTGCTTCATAGAGGCAAGACCTGCTGGGAAGAAGTTGCTGTGCTCATTTAAACCTGATAGGCCACCGGGTCCAGGCAGATTGTGTTCTTGGTAATAAAGAGTTAACTCCAACTTGCATGACGTGAGCCCACTTAGCCATCCTTAATGAAGCCCAACACTTCAGTTTGCTTTACAGCAGGGAAGAGATAGCTGGTGTTTTGGTATGTACTGTACTGGTAGGGTGGAAGGGAGGGAGGCTAACAGCAGGGGGAGCCAAAGCCAATAACAGGCAGATCTACCCTCTGACAGAAGGCAGGAAGGTGGGGGCAGGCTGAGGTTGGTGGAGCAGTGTCCTATTTGCCCATTTGTTCTGGACAACTAGTCCCTTCCAACTCTTTGATTCAATGAGTAATGCGTGCTTATCAAAAAAAAAAAAGCTACTCCAACAGGGCTAGTATCTGTTCTGGATTGATTAATACAGAATATAAGAGTGGGATCTTATAATACAATTTAATAATTTAAATAGTTGTTGAAACATAATAGCATAAGATCGCAGATTAACAATGCATCACTCCTATGCATATTGGCTTTCAAAAGTAATTCCCATTGAATCCAACGGAGCTTACTTGCTAGCAATTTTTTTTTGAATGCAGCCTTAATGAACAATACTGAACCATAGGTCGACATCACAGTTTAAAATACAGAACTGAAAAGACAAAGCAGAATTTTATAAAATATCAGAAAGTCTCCTTTAGAATGAACAACATTCAGCTTCAAAAATCCTAATTGTCCTAGCTGCCGCTGTGGAGATAACCACCTGGTATGTGACATTTGCCTTGGTTTTCAATACAAAGTGTATTTTAACTGCGTCATGCTGAAATCTTGTTCCAGCCAGCAGCAGGTCAGATTTAAAAAACAAACAACAAAAAATATCCCTAGGAGAGGAATACAATACAATAGACAAATAGAATCTGCAACAAAGCGTTGCAGTGTGAAATGCTCCTGTTCAGCTATCCAAAAGACAGCAACACCCTCTGCTCTACCAGAATAGTCCACCCCCTCCCTCATATTTTACACGCCCCCACCCGTAAAACCAGTTTCTCAGCATCTGTGGCGGCCATCAAGTAGCTCCGTTCCCAATGGGCTATTTTAGTATTCCCCGACCCCATTTGGCTTTTGTGTGTGTGTTGCAGTTCTGCACATATTGGGGTTTCTCCATGTCTGCTTACACATCGACGATTCCGTTTTGGCTACATAAAGATCTACGCTCACCTTTGAACTTGGAAAACTGAGGGAATTGCGATATTGGACTATTCCCTGGCTACCATATATGCAGGGGAGAGAAAAACAATGATTAAATAATGCTTTTGAGCAGCTACAGAGTGCCTTTCCCTAACCGCTAAGTAAGTGCAATAAAAACCCCTCGAATCTGAGATTAATTAAAAAACAAAATACGTTGCTGTTGCTCATCCACTATCTTAACTTGTTTTTTGGAAGTGTATTAACAGAGGGGGGGGTCAGGGTTTGCGTGAGAATTAATTGCTGGGGGCGGAGACCATTCCCGCGAGTGGGGAGAGGGAACGCGGTGGCCTCTCCAGGGAGCGATTTATTTGTTCTATGGGGGATTTTTTGCCTTCCGTAAAAGCGTGTCCCACGAGGCAACCCGTAGACACGTGACCTCACCTGGGCTCAGGTGAAGGAGGGGCCCTGGACGCCGTTCACCTGGCTCGGCAGGTAATGCCAAGGCGGGGCTGGCGGGGCGGAAACCATTCCCGGGGGGAAGAGGGGCGCAGGGATCCAGCAGGGATCTTGGAGAGAAGCGGGCGCGGGCCCCGGGGTACCCCAGCGGCCTCGGCTAGGCTAGGCTCAGACCTACCTGTAGAAGGACTAGGCCCTGCCCAGGTGTTAATGGTGACACCAATCCCCTCGGCGCCTCGCTCGTCGCCCCCTTCCTTCCGCCTCCTAGTCTTCGAGTGGTTCCCACCCCCGTCTCCCCCCCCCCCTCGCCTCCCACCCAGGCATCTTCCTCGATTTGGGGAGGAAGGGCTTTAACCCAGAAGATCTGAGGCCAGACCAACTTTGAGGGGACAGGCGGATGCAGGTCTGACACTTGCTTACGTGGAGAGACCACCCCACCGCATTACAGGTAATCTGCAGTAGCCTTTTCACCTCCAATCCTGCATATGAATCCCAGGGGGCCCTATCGATTTCAGGGCGGGAGTGCTGCTCCTGCTGCTTATGCTCAAGTGAGTATGTTTGAGATTATAGCCTCAAGTGGAGGGGATTGGTGATTTTTAGCCTAGAGGTTTACCAGTCTTTTAAATTTGGAACTTCCTCTTGTCTGTCTTAAGAGGACTGTCTGTGCACGGACGACTTGTATTTAGTTAGTTAGCTTGTAAAATGTATGCACCATTTGAAAGAAACCTCAAAGTGGTTTGCAAAAAAACACCACTCACTAACTTTGACCAGTCCAGAGACTCTGCACCCCTTAACACTTGCATGCACTCTCTTTTCTTTGGAGCAAACATGTCACTCTCACTGAACTGAAAGAGTAGCCCTTAAAATGTCTGCCCCATTCTTCCTGGAATGCAGGGTAACTACTTTATTTTGCCTTTGTGGTCAATATAGATATACTTATTGATATATTATTGATATACTAGGGACGCGGGTGGCGCTGTGGGTAAAAGCCTCAGCGCCTAGGGCTTGCCGATCGAAAGGTCGGCGGTTCGAATCCCCGTGGCGGGGTGCGCTCCTGTTGCTCGGTCCCAGCGCCTGCCAACCTAGCAGTTCGAAAGCACCCCCGGGTGCAAGTAGATAAATAGGGACCGCTTACTAGTGGGAAGGTAAACGGTGTTTCCGTGTGCGGCTCTGGCTCGCCAGAGCAGCGATGTCACGCTGGCCACGTGACCTGGAAGTGTCTCCGGACAGCGCTGGCCCCCGGCCTATAGAGTGAGATGGGCGCACAACCCTAGAGCCTGTCAAGACTGGCCCGTACGGGCAGGGGTACCTTTACCTTAACCTTATTGATATACTGGTGGGAGCAAATGTTCCACTATCCAAGACCACCCTTGGCTTTGTCAGAAATTTAAGGGTAGGATGGAGATTCAGAATATGTTAAGTGGTAAGTCTAGGTTTATGGCTGTGGTCCTACCATCCATTGCCAGAACAGTCATCTACATATTGCACACCAGCTCAGCAGTAGTTATTGTGCTTACAAATACAGTGTGGCCAAAATAAACTGGTGGTTACTGGCTTTGGCTGTTGCACTGGGGAAGCGGGGGTTACATATAACATTGGAACAGTTGTTTTGGTTGAAACCAAAGCAATAACAGGAATTATGCAGGTGTAGTAGGTGGGGGGGGGGCAATTCTCTCTTTAAAAAGCAAAACAAAAAACTACAAATAGCTGGCATAGCTTGATCTGATGATTCTGGAATTATTTAGCAAGGGAATCCAACAGAGAGATCTTGTGTTTGTTCAACATGTACTTGTCTGTCTCCTTCCTTCATTTCAAAGTCACCCCTTTGTGCAGCAATGCTGAATGCTGGTCATATACCTTAACTGCTCCTGTCCACCAAGGACACCTTGGCTTGAGCCTAACTGCTTAAGCTGCCCCTTATTACTCTCACAAAGCCTTTTAATTCTCACCATGCATTCATGTTCTTCTGGATTTTCTTGCATCTGTATCAGATAGGTGCTTGAAATGTTCGTGATGAAGCCATTCTCCACACACAGGGTTATATCCAGTTAAGTTCTACTCAAAGTATACCCATTGAAATTAGTGGACCTAAGTTACCTAAGAACAATATAAGAAGAGCCTCCTGGCTCAGGCCAATGGCCCATCTCACCCAACATCCTTTTCTCACTGAAGCCAACCAGTTGCTTAAGGGAAGCTCACAAGGAGGACCTGAGTACAATAGCGCTTTCGCCACCTGTGATCCCCATCAGAGACATACTGCCACCAGCAGTGGTGATAGTACATAGACATCATGGTTAGCGGCCACTGATTTGTCATAAAGTTAGTCATGTCCATTCATTTCAGTGGGTCTGCTCTGTGTCCCAGCTTCTGCCAACCTAGCAGTTCGAAAGCACACCAATGCAAGTAGATAAATAGGTACCGCTGTGGCGGGAAGGTAAACAGCGTTTCCGTGCGCTCTGGATTCCATCACGGTGTTCCGTTGTGCCAGAAGAAGTTTAGTCATGCTGGCCACATGACCCGGAAGGCTGTCTGCAGACAAACACTGGCTCCTTTGGCCTGAAGTGAGATGAGCGCCTCACCCTTTAGTCTGGACTTAACCGTCCAAGGATCGTTTACCTTCTACCTTTTTCTCTGAGTATGACTAATTTTGGATACAGCTCACAGTTCCTGGAAAAGTTCTACTTCCTCTGGAGGGTTCCCATTGCACAAGCATTGATTTGTATTAATTTAAAATATTTCTTAACTACAAGTCTTTGTACGAAGCAGTGGATAAAGCTACTTACACAAGAGAAGTGCAATGGCAAACCCTACAAATAAGCAGTAAAATAGAGGCAGACATACAACTGAAGAATGAATAAGGCAAAATCCCAACTAAAATGCCTAAAATAAGACATACAGAAGGTCTTAACACGGGGCCAAAAAGATCGTAATGCCGGCTCCAGAAGTGCTCCTTTAGGGGGGGGGATTCTGGAGTTGGGGCACCACTGTAGAAAACACCTCTCCTTTGTAAATTCATAATGTACCCTAATTTAAAAAGTTACTTGTAGCTGGGCTTCTGCAGAGGATCTTAAAACACATTAAGGCTTTTATGTTGTTATTGTTGTTGTCGTTAATTATTTATTTGGACTTATTAGGTGCTTGTTACCTAAGAGCATCTGGGTCCCACCAAAGTGCTAACTATGACCTTTAAAGCCCTTAATTGGGCTTGCCAGTGTGGCATCTATGAGAACAATGGTGCCATTGAGTCCATTCCCCGGTGCTGACAACACCTCTGAGCCCGCCCGCCTCCCTGGCCCCTTGGTCATGAGATGGTGGAGGTGATTACCTTTTTCTCCCTTGAAAAGTGCATAGAGCTGAAGGATGAAGTTGGAAGTGCGGTGCTGCCCCCCCCCCCACTTCCTCTTTCAGTTTGATGTGTTTTTTCAGGCACATTCTACTGGATCTGACTTCTAGCAAGATCCCTTGAAAAAGTGAAGGTGGTGCGCACACTTTCTTTTTTTTCTCTCTCTAGGCGGGTGAGGGCTGGTTTGGGAGAGGGGAAGGAGAAGTGACCAGAGGGCACAGTACCAGGGATGGATTAAGATCTTTAGAGGTCCTAAGCACTTAAAATATTTAGGCCGTCCCCCCCCCATATATATATCTAATTCAAAATATAAACAATAATAAACCGTAAAATAATTCGTCGCCGCCGCCAAAATAAAAAGAAACCTACAATAAGATGGAAAACAATGTTGATTTTTGTATATTTGTATAAATAATGTTTTTTGTTCAGCTGTGCCATATGGTCCATGGTAAATCTAGCAATGGAAAAATTCAGTGGTGCCACCCCCCCTTCCCTTGTTGCTCTAAGCACGTGCTTATTTTGCTTAATGGTTAATCCAGCCCTGGATGGTACCCATACCACTTGCTCAAAAATCCAAAGACTTTAAACAGTTGGCAACCCCTGCCTTAATGGTTTAGGGCCCAGTTATTTAAAAAAAAGGCTGCCTACCCCCATGCAAACCTGCCAGATATTTAAGCTTCTTGACAGAGGCCCTACTCATACACCTGTCGGGAAAAGAGGCCAGGCTAGCAGACAGGAAGGATTGAGGCTTTTTCCATCGTGGCTCCACAATTGTGGAGCTCCCTAACCCAGGATACACAATCAGACTCCTTCTTGATATCACTTAAGAGGGACCTAAATGCATTTTTAAATTTGTATTTGTGACTGCTTTTTGGAGGGATATGCAAGAGGTAAGGAGCTTCTTAACTTTGTTCAGATGGATGGCTAATGGAACTGGATTGGAAGAAGGGAGAATGATTTACCGCTGCTATTGACGTAAGCGAAGTGTTTGATATTTGTATGTCATTTTAAAATTGTTTTAATATCTTAGTCAGCTGCCCTGGGAAAGCAGTCTCTTTTGTACAGTTACAAACTAAGAGAAACAAATCCTCTGAACCTACTTAACAAAAACAAAACTTTTCCTTTTTGTCTTTGTGAGCACAGGATATTCTGAAATGGACGAAGCAACTGCTTAGGGTTTAGATTAACCCCCAAGAAGGCAAGGCAAAAGGTAAATAACAAAAAAGGAGGGGGTTTTGGGGGGGAGGGAGGGAGAAGAGAAGGGAGATGGAAAAAGTTGGCACAAAAATTATGACATGCTCTGCGCTGGAGGGGGGGTGGAATCCTGCCTTTCTTCCCTCAGGCCATTCTATTTCTGTCTTCAAGGAAAGCTGAATTCTTTGTTAGACCTGTACAAATAAGGCAAAATGAGTTCATTTACACGATTCCTTAATTGGTGTAATCCTGCAATATTTAAGGCGTTCCATAACTTGATTCTGGCTTTGCCATTACAAGGAGCTCTGTGAGATGCCAAAGTTCAGTCTCTCCCCTTCACCACTGGAGGTTTTCTTCAGCTACTCTTCTACCTCCTGAAACTTCAGCCACCCAGCTCCCATATAGGACAGGTGTGTTGTATGTGCACAGAACTTCCACCACCAGCCGCAACCACCCCAGACACATTGCACTTGTCTTTTCCTGGCTCATCCTCATTTCAGCTTCCTGCAAGCATATCTACCCTCCCAAAAGCTATGTTTGAAAGCCCTGGGCAGAAATCTCATATGACACAAAGGGTTGCACTTGGAAAGCAAAGTTGGCAAGCCTTGCCTTCAACACCAACAGCAGAAGTGCTTTCTGTTTATATGTGGGGTCATCTGGAACGCCATTGTATCTTCAAAGGGCTAGAAACTTGATTTATTTTTATTTCAAATGGAAAGTTGATCTTCTCAGGAAACTGCATTCTGCATCCAGTGTTGCCACATGTTTCCATAGAATTGCAGCACATAATGCAAAGGTAAGGGATGCAGGTTGCGCTGTGGGTTAAACCACAGAGCCTAGGACTTGTCAATCAGAAGGTCAGCGGTTCGAATCCCCGTGGCGGGGTGAGCTCCCATTGCTTGGTCCCTGCTCCTGCCAACCTAGCAGTTCAAAAGCACATCAAAGTGCAAGTAGATAAATAGGTACCGCTCCGGCGGGAAGGTAAACAGCGTTTCTGTGCGCTGCTCTGGTTCGCCAGAAGCGGCTTTTTCATGCTGGCCACATGACCCGGAAGCTGTACGCTGGCTCCCTTGGCCAATAAAGCGAGATGAGCGCCGCAACCCCAGAGTCGGTCACGACTGGGCCTAATGGGCCAAGGGAACCTAATACCAAGTGAATCTTGACCGTAGCAGACTCTTGCTGTCCTGGTGGAGGCAGAACTTGAGCATCTTAACCTCTTTCTCTTCTGGTGCTTCTGCTCAGGTCATCTGGATTTGATGGGGAGCATGTATGTTTGATGGGGAGCATGTATGTTTGAGCATGTGTGGTTTTTGTTTTCTGTTTTATCTCTCTCTCCTTGTCAGGAGTCGAAAGGGTAGCAAGTCATGCTTGGAAAGACACAAGGACATCGCCAAAACCTAAGCAGCTACCACCAGCCCCCTAGAGATGTTGTGGTACCCCAGCAGATCAACTCTCCCAGAGCGACTGACATTAGCTTGGAGGTGTTCAGTGGCTCTACCCCTGAGCTCAAGCAAACCCGCAAGCCAACACGAGCTGCGAGAAGCCGCAAAGCCGACCCCAAAGATGCCAGTGGGAGGGAGGGCGAAACGAGTACCTTTATCCCTGGTGCTGTGGAGACCCCCCGGCCCCCCTGCTGCCCCACTCTGTCCCAGGCCTGGAGTGTGTACAAAGCGATCTTCTGCTGCATTGTGACATGTGGGGACTGCTTCAGGGACTGCCCTTCTAGGAGCCTCTACAATGAGGCACTGACAGATGAGAGCCGAGAGTGCAATGGGCGTTCGCCAAACAGTCCTGCCAATAGCTCCCCTGCTGAAAAAAACGGGAGCCAAACCAAAAAGAGCACGATCGGGAGCAGTTTCAGCTACCCAGATGTGAAACTGAAAGGGATCCCAGTGGGGATTTATACCCCTAGCCCCCACACGGATACTGATTCATGCTACAAGGAGCCTCTTCCGGAGAAGATAGCCAGGAACAGCATAGAGAAGCAACCTCTCCCCAGCAGCCTTCGAAGCTCTGAGGATTACTCCGCCGACGATTTGGATACCGACAGTGACAGTGACCCAAAGAATAGCTCTATATCCAGTGGTCGGATTGATTACCTGATCCACAGGAAACTGACCGAGCTCTTCAGCATTCACCAAATTGACGAGCTGGCCAAGTGTACGTCGGACACCGTCTTCCTGGAGAAGACCAACAAGATCTCAGACCTCATCAACAGCATCACTCAGGACTATCACTTGGATGAGCAGGATGCCGAATGCAGGCTGGTCCGGGGGATCATACGCATCAGCACGCGCAAGAGCCGGGTCCGACCCCGCGTTTCTGTCCCGACCCGCCCGAGTCTGGAGGAGAGCATGAGCAGAGGCAATCTGCCAGACAGTGGCAACGAGACCATGTTGGCATCTGTGCTCCCTAGCGAAGGAGGTACGTATGAAGCTTTGTGCTGTGCGTAGAGCAAAGGGGAGCCATAATATTCAAGGGTAATGTACCACAGATACATTAAAAAGCCTATGAAGTATGCGGCTTTTTAATACATATTAGAGAGAGAGAAGAAGAAGAAATAATAAGCAAATATGCATGAGTAGTTAAGCACTAGTTTTAATACCAGATCTGGTTTCTCTCGGTGGTAGTTATTCCAATTCACCTGCACCATATACAAAGAAATAGCCTGTATTTTAGCCCAATTTGCCTAACAAACAACACTAATCTTCCCCTGGAGTCAGCATTCATAGGATCCTTAACAAGGGTAAAGATAAGAACCAGTTGAAAACCTTTACTACTCTACGTTCCCAAATTGCAAAAGGATGCCACTGTAGGTCCCAGCTCTGCATTACAATATGGTGGTGGGCAACTTTAAAGCTTTGGAAGCTGGAGTAGTGTGGGAGACCCTGGCCAAATCCCTGTTTGGTCAGAAAGATCACTGGGTGATTTTGGATCAGTTGTCCATTTGTACCTATGTGCCCCTGCTGGGAAGGCCTGTTGTGAAGATGAAACTGGATGGAGGGTACAGATGATAGTGGCAGCAGGGAACAAAGTATGCTACCCTGAGCTGCTTGCAGGAGTGATAGAATAAGAATGCAATTAAATCCTTTGGTGGGCATTCTTGTATGTATACTCCTCTCCCACATGCACATGCATATCCCTCACTCTTCCTAAGTAGGTTCAAACAGCCATCTTTTCCCAAAGTGTCACAGTTGCCACATTGGCATGTTTTAAGATGTGGAGAGGCCCAGGGCCTAAATGTGCATTTGAGTGCCCCCTTCCTTCACACACAAACCTACATCAATGTCATTTATACCCCTCAACTGGAGTGTACTGTTTTGTCAGTATGGATGTGGCCCCTGCTTGTGTGAGGCCTGGGACCATTACCTCCTCTAAAAAGGAGGAGGGGGCATTGTGTTGCCACCTAGTAGGAGCCTTCTAGTTTGCAGCCAACACGCCCTGATAAGCTATGAAAATCCAGCTTGTCCAGCTTGCTCTAGACCGCTTTCCAGGAACCACTTGATTCTAAGCATGCTGGTTACAAACGTCAGCACATATTGGGGAATAGATGGCTACCTGAATTCATGCTTTTTTCTTTGCTGTAGGCCAGAAATGCCTGGGAGGCATCAGTAAGCTAGTTGAAAGGAATTTGAGAATAGGTGAAATCTCAGAAAAAGTTAAATTTGGAGTTAATATTATGCCTAAATTAAATATTCAAGCTTTTGGTTAATGTAGTTAAAACTAGAGACATAATATTGGAATAATACAAAATAAGAATTGAAACAAGGTGATAATTTGCTGTTTAGAACTTTATAAATTTGGAATGCAGGAACGAGAGACGCGAGGAAGTCTAAAAAGGTGAAGAAAGTATGGATATTAAGGATTTGATTTTGATGTTGTATGTTTTTCTTTTCTGTGTGTTTTTCTTTGTCTATTGTATTTTGGGGATGGGTTTATATGTGTTTGGTGATAATGTTTAAAATCTTGAATAAATATTATTTAAAAAAAACAGAAATGCCTGGGAGGCAAGCAAAGGAGAAGGCTTTTATGTCTCTCACATGCACCCCGAATGCCAGGGATGGAGAGCCCTGTCCTTCCACATGTTGTTGGACTCCTAACAGACCCAGCCAACATGAGGGGTAATGGGAGCTGTAGTCCAGCAATATCTTGAGATTCACAGGTTTCCTGCTATAGATTATCAGTAGCTTCTTATTTTGAATGACTTGAAAATATTTGGCTCATAGCTAAGGTAGCATATGGTGGGCTCTCCTTTAGCAACTGGATATAGCCACTAGAAGACTCAGCAAAGACTTGAACCAAAATCCCAGTTCAGCAGCTGAGTCATTCTCCAAGTTACTACCTCTAAGCCTCAACCTTGTATTTGCAAAAAGGGGTATAACGGCAACACAATTTGAAGGGTGATGATGAGAAGGAATGAAAGAATGAGGGTGGACTACAAACTGAAATAACCTCCAGTTTTCTTACGTAAGACCCTGAGTACATTTGGGGGTTGTAACATTTTGTGCACTCACTAGCAAACTGGCTATACCCTTGTCTGTTTCGCAGAGGCAAACCTGTGCTCATCAGCTCCCCGTTTCCCCACATTCACACACTTAGCTGTTTGGGTATATCCCTAAAATATGTAGATGCCAAATGATGTGTGTTTCCTTTCAAATTTCTTCTTCTTCTTTTGGTTATCTGTCTTCTAGATTTCCCTGTTCAGATATCTGTTGAAACCACAGCAGATATGAAAGCCAGGAACATGAGGCATGGAGCATACAGCGCTGCTGGTAAGCCATCTTCACAGAATGAATCGTGTTACCTCCTTTTTCCGTTTGCGGCCATCGAGCCATCACTGCCTTCCCAAAGTGAGCCTGAAGTCATTTATAAATAGGCTCATTAAACGTTGTTTGCGGACAGTACTACTGTTTGTTACTAAGCAAGGTATTGGCTTGGGTTTTATATTGAAGTAATAGCGCGAGCCTTATTCAGGAGTTCAACTTGCAGAATGAATAATCGTACAGAGCTCTGGCTGTGCCCACTGTACCAGCCCCCCACCAACATTGCAACCCTACCCCTAACCCACCTATGCTTTTGAGGGAACCTGCAGAACTCTGCAGAGTCAAGATTCCCAAGATTCCCCCACGTGATTCCCAAACTTTTTGCCCCCTGGACCAGTTGAAAATTGCTGAAGGTCTTGGCAAACCACTTAATGATTTTTCTGCCTGTTTAGCAATGGTAATTTGCTGCAGCGTTATTCCTTTAAGGAAGGCAGAGCCTTCTTCCAACCGCTCCATTCTGCAAACCACCTGGTTTCGAAGAACAATGGAGTGGCTGCTGTACTTGCCTTTTTTCTCAGAGAGAGAGAGAGACAGCCTCTGTATCTTCTGCTCTTCACACACATACATTGTTCTTCATTATCCTATGGAAGCAGTAAGGATGTACTTAGTTTTTCACAAATGATTTCTCCATATTGGCTTTATTTCTGTTAAATAAATCACGACACGGTATAATATGCCATGTGTTGTTGTTCATCTGAGGTTGTATTTACCTAATTTTAAGACCTGCTAAGGAACAAATGATTGCTATTATGTCTCCATACGTAAAACCACAGAATTCAAAGAGGGTGCACTTTCTTTTCCCCATAACTGTACATGTAACTCCACAGAGTCAGTGCCACACACACACAAATGAAGCTGTGTCATGGACTGTTGGTGGTCCATGGATCACTCTTTGGGAACTGCTGGCTTAGAGCACATCTCTACTCCATGCAGTTTAATCACCATGCAATTTGAATATTCAAATGTAGAAATGGGTAACACCAACTGTCGTATTACAGTCCTGGGGATCCAACTGCAGATTAATTCGACAATTTCCTTTGAACAAGTGTGTGGAACCTATGATCATGCACGTTTATTTATATTATTGGGAATCCTGGAAAATCAGGTATTCAACTGAATGTGCATGGGGTATGTTGTCTAAACAGCACTTCTGAACTCCAGAGCTAGGAAACTTGTGATGCAGCCCTGAATTATTAACTTGTTTATAGATACAGTGGTGCCCCGCAAGACGAATGCCTCGCAAGACGAAAAACCTGCTAGACGAAAGGGTTTTCCGTTTTTCGATGCGCTTCGCAAGACGATTTTCCCTATGGGCTTGCTTCGCAAGACGGAAACGATTTTTTTCGCCCCCCCCCCTTTTTCTAAGCCGCTAATAGCCTTTTAGCCGCTAAGCCGCTAATAGCCGCTAAGCCGCTAATAGCCTTTTAGCCGCTAAGCCTTTAATAGCCGCTAAGCCGCTAATAGCCTTTTAGCCGCTAAGCCGCTAAGCCTTTAATAGCCGCTAAGGCGCTAATAGCGCTAATCCACTAAGCCGCTAATAGGGTTGCTTCGCAAGACGAAAAAACCGCTAGACGAAGAGACTCGCGGAATGGATTATTTTCGTCTTGCGAGGCACCACTGTATTATAAGAAGGAGTGAGACCCTGTCAGCATAATGCACATCTGCTCAAAGATTTGCTCTGGCTGCCAATAAATTCAAGGTGTTACTGTTAATATATAAAACCTGCAACAGCTTCAGACCCATGTACTTGAAGGATCTCCTTCCCCTATATGCTCCCACTTTGGAACTGGTGCTTTTAAATGACCCACTCTGCACTTGCAAGAAATCAGTCTTTTACTGTGGCAGCACCTATTTTCTGAAATCCCCTGCCTGTTAATGTCAGGCAGGCAACTCTCTTGTATTATTTTTGACAGCTGCCCAAAAATGTTTTATTTAGGCTAATCTACCCAAAACATGTAATGACTATTTTATACCATTTTATGTAAAGTGTTTAGAGATATATTTTTGACCAAGTGATATATACAATTGGCTTGAGTGCAAAGTAAACCCGTTCCTGCCTTCTGCCTAATGAGCACAAAGGCACTGGTAGGATTCGCATGCCCTTTGCTTTGGCAGCAGGGTGGGTGGAATGTTGTCCTATGTGACTTTGGAGTTGGTTTTATTTATTGGCTTAATTATTTCAGTATTACTGATGAATGAGGAAAATCGGAGACATGACTTGAGAAGAGAGCGTAGCAACTAATTCCAGTCACTACTTCTTTCCCCATGATAGTCCTGTTTTAAAATTCTTGGATGAGCCTAGCTTTTTAGCCTCTACCCTCTTCCACGCACATTTCTGGCTATGGTCTTGCTGACCTGTTTTAATATATGCAACAACCTTTGGTAACGTTATTCTTTTTCTGCTAGCCGTGGAGAGAGGCAAAGTACTATACAAGGTACGGAAGCCCTGCTGTCTGGCAGCTGGAAATGGTTCTCTCTCTGCCGGCTTCTTCCTGAGGTTTCCCAAGGCCATGGCCTGTGTTTTTCTGACCCTACTTTGCACAGCCTTGAAGGCTAAGAACTTGCTCTTGGTTTTTACAGGCTCGCCGAGATTCTTAGGAGTTTTGACTTCTCTCCTGCAATACCTGTTTCCACACAAGTGATTGGTGGGAGTGGAGGGTGGAGGCTGCATAAATCTGAGTCACAGAGACAGGGGAGACCTTATAGTCCAGCTGCCTGCTTAATGCAGGACACAACTATGGCTATCCCTAACAGCTGTCATTCAGCCTCTGCTTAGATTATTCCAGTGAAAGAGAACCTACTGTCTCCCATGACAGTCTTTCTCATTGCCAGACAGCTTTTGCCATGATTGTATTATGGAATGCAGGCTGTAATGTCTGATGTGGAATCTACCAGGTCAAGTAGGGTACAAAGAATCTCAGGTTCTGTTTGTTCTTACCAAAAGTCAGGTTCTAGTCCTCATGGCTGTGGACTTTTTGAGAGGGATCCACTGCTTGCATTGGATTTTAGGGGTTGCAGCGTACCATTTTTGCAGATATTTTCTTCTTATTCCCCTTTCCTAAGTATGCCATAGTCCTGTATGGCTCTCCTCTCCCTCTTCTTGTTCCTTCTGCCTCCTGTTCTTAGGGTTAAAATGGCTGCCAAGAGCAGCATCACCGGTGTGCCTTAGCTGTGCTTTAGCAGACACCGACTATGACAGAGTCCGAGAGCACCTTGCACACAGCTTGTGGTCAAGCTACATTCCCCGAGCTTGATGCAAGAATGGCTGGGTGCAGTTCTTGGGTCTTACATGGGATCTTGGGTTAGTTATAAACAGGGCTGTGAGTCTTCTGCACATCCATGATGCAGGGTTTGGCTAAGAATGCTGGCTTTCTTTCCCCACCTACCTCTCAAGATGAGCTTCAAGTTTTTGTAGCTACAAAGAGACACTTCAAGACATGCAGTTAAGTCTTTTTCAGCTGAACATGAAACAGCACTTCTGTAGCCTACTGGGCTTTAATGCTGTTTCTTTATGGCAAACAGAAACAGGGGCTTCATCTGCATTATATATTTAAAGCAGTATCATAGGATCCTAGACTTGTAGAATTGGAAGGGACCCCAATCTTATGTAGTCTTGCAATGCTAAAGAATTCCTAACAGATGGCCATCCAGCCTCTGTTGGGCTGGAGAGTCCACCTCTTTCTGAGGTAGTCCGTTCTACTGTCGAAAGCTCTTACCATCAGGAAGTTTCCCCAAATGTTTAGTCAGAATCTTTTTTCGTGTAATTTGAATTCATTGGTATCATACCACTTTAAACAGTTATGGCTTCCTCCAAAGAGTCCTGGGAACTGTACTTCGTTAAGGGTGCTGAAAGTGGTTAGGAGACCCCAATTTCCCTAATAGAGCTGTGATTCCCAGAGTTCTGTGGGAAGAGGGGTTGGCTGTTGAACCACTGTGGAATTGTAGCTCTGTGATGGGAATAGGGGTCTCCTTGCAACTCCCAGCACCCTTAACAAACTACAGTCCCCAGGATTCTTTGTGGGGACTCCAAGACTATTTAAAGTAGTATGATACTGCTTTAAACATACGGTGCAGATGGGTCCAGGGGTTTTATAAAAAAAACTAAAAAGCAACCAGGTTTACATAAATACGAGAAGATGCTGTTTTCCTGCATTGTGATTTTCAGTCCAATAAATGATGAATTGGTTCCATTTTTTGTGAGGAGGTCTGTTTATTTTTCTCTACTTCTTTGACAGATGTGGTCTGTCAGTTTACCCATTTGTGCAATTTCATATCTTCCACTATGGATGGAAAATGGGATTTCCAACAGCTGACCAAAACCTTTTTGCTGCAGTTAAACAGCTTAACAAATAATACAAGAGGGGTGGACAGATTTCAGGCTACTTTTTTCTACTTTTTTACTAGAACCTAAAGATGTACAAATCAAGAGCCAGGTACAAAGGTCATTCAGAATGAAAGAGCAAGAGTCCCTCTGAGCACATTCTGAGCCTCAGAATTTGGTTCGAGTACCAGAACTGACCCGAGCTCACAATTCCACTCCCAGTTACCAAATCTTCATCTCAGCAACATAATTGGGGTGGGGAGAGCTGTTTTGTTGTTGCATTTGTAAATCAGTTGTGGGTTGGAAATCCTTGTTAATCCATTGCACATCATCCAGTAGATCCTGAACTGCCTCTTGCCCTGTAACTATTATATGTACCAGGGGTGTGGAACCACTGGACTGTAGGCCTAATTAGGACCACAGGACCATTTGGACCTCAGGACCATTTTGCCCAAGCCACTCATACCTGGGGCAGGTTAATGTGTAGCTGGGTCAGAGGGGACTTGCAGTAGGTGCTGCCACCATCATGATATCAGTTGATTGACAGGGGAGTTGTCCTAGCCATATGTCCAACTTCGCCCCCAGGGACTAGGGAAAATAAGGAACCCTAAGGCTGCCAGAAGTCCATAACAGCCGAAAGTGGACTGAGTATGTTCCATGGGCATGGAATGCTGAATGACTGCCACCTGGTGGAATGGACTGTCTGTAATCTTGAACAGGAGCACTTCACACAAAACTCTGTTGCAGATGCAACTTGTAGTCTCCAAAATGTCAAATTGCAGCTTCTTGGGAACTTAAAGTAAAACAAATTTGACCAATTCAAATTTCCAGAATTATTCATTCATTCATTCATTCATTCTCCCTTCCCCCCTCCCCCCCTGCACTGAATTTGGGGTGGGTGGGTGTGCTGATGATATACAGCCCTGGTTATAGTACAGTGTTCCAGCTTATCCTTTGGGTATGCATTTTCCAGGCTTTTGCATATTGTGTATAAAACTCAGTGTGATCTGTTATTTACAACAAAAACAACAACACCCTCTTCTTTGTTTTCCCCTCTCAAGGATCTCCCCTGAGCAGAGGTTCTTCTTTCCAGGATACAGAGACGGATTCCTCTGGAGCTCCTCTGCTGAAAGTATATTGCTGAAAAATGGACCTCGAGAACGAACGTGCTAGGCAACGAGGCCACGGGGCAAGTTCCCGATTTCTAAATGACAAATACGATGCCACTTTATTTTGTTTGTCAATCTTTAAAAATTGAACTTGACTCCCTTAACTTGCATTTTAAGGGAGCCTCAGAAGCAGATTGTTGTCTAGCAGCAAAATGACAGGAAAAGGATATTGGCACCAGCCATAAGTTGGGCTTTCCCAGAATGCCTGGTTCTGGTGCCATCTTCCAAGATAGATTCTGCTGTAAACTTGCCTTCAGATGACCAAGCTAGTGCCTTTTTCACTGCATCCATAAGCAACATTTTGCCGTAATGGACGTTAAGTAGCAGCGATGGTTTTTTTGCACACGTCTTTCTAAGTGTGATCGTCCCACTAGTGTAAGGGCTCCTCTTATGCAATATCCCACATTATGTTGGTTTGATGGTGCTTGGAGACCTTGAAGACATCTTTCTACATCTGTCGTTACTTAGTACAGTATGCTTGGTTCAAGAGTACCACATCTGTGCCTTGGATGGACTGTGTTGAGCGAGGGATGATGAAACCGCCTTCAGTGATGGCAAATTGACATGAATGATGGCAAATCAACTTTCAAGCAGTGTGTAATCCGTGGCCATCCTACAGACTTTCTAACTAAGTTAACGCAAGCTGCTTGGAAAACCAAGACGTGACTTCATATGGCTTGCCAACCATTTGTTGCAGAGCATTGTTTCAGTCAAATGACAGCTGTCATCCAGGGTTGGAAATGATAGCTGGGATCCTCAAGCAGATTGGGGCTTGCTATGAAAAACCATAGGACTCGGCATCGCGTGTCATTTTCAGTTCTTTTTTTCTAAGCCCATCCCGCTCTACATCAAAGTTAAGCCTTGGAGGGTAAAAGAAGAAACCAGTTTATAAATAAGCCAGCTTATACCAAGCAAATCATAGCTTTCATAGTAATTGTCAAGCCTCAGAATGGCATTTAGAAACTTGATACATTTTTTCTCTTATGGAACGTCAAGGAGTTTGCGATGGATGGGCTCCACAGTGTATCTGGGACATTTAACTTGAAATTCAAACTGGTTTGAAACCCATTTAAGTTGTTTTGCTTCCCTCAGATAGCAATGTGAATTGTTACTAGCAATCCTATAGTCTGTTGACAGAATAAAGGTACCCAGGGCTCCTTTGTTCAGAGCCCTTTTCACCTTGTGCCTCAAATTCAGGCTGCTTTGATTTCAGTGGCAGAAGAGCTGAGATGTCGATGAAATGTTCTGCAACTGCGGATGGGTAGTTTCCAACAACGGCTGTGCAAAAGGACTCTTGTCCCTGGAGCTGCTGCCATACGCACTGACCCACTGATAAGTGTGGTGTAACACTGGGCTTAGCTGGGTAGAGCAAGCACGTTTGTGTAATGTTATTAAACAGCGGCCACAGTCCAGAGCCCCATAACTCTGCATACTGTTTTTGGAGCTCTTGGAAGGATGCATATGTTGTTGGGGGGGGGGGACGCATAGCTCTCCCTTTCCCTTACCCCCACTTGCATCTCGTGAGTGAATTCCTTCTCCTTTCTGTTCCCCCAACCCCAGTACTCTCATCTGGAGTCTTCCCAGATTGGACCAATGTGTGTGTTTTGTTCTTTGCAGAAGACTGCAGGGAAATCCTCAGCCAGGTTAATTCATGCAGCTGGTGGCATTTTGGTGATTTGCTGTATACTTATCTTCATTTTTAACTTAGGCTTGATCAGAACTGGTAGCAGTTCTTTTAAATGTGCACACCTAGTTGTCAGTAACACACTGGATACACAATACTGTGCTGATTTTTTAAAATGTGCCAGTCACTCCCCACTGTTGCCTCTCTTTCTCTCCTGCACTTTTCTGTTTTGTACCTTAACTTGCCTGGAGGGGACATTTTCGAAATAGTAGTGTGTTTTCTTTGGGAAAGGAGCTAATATGGAAAATACATGTCCTTTTGCTCTTTTTAAAAAGCCAGTGAACTTTTAAAAAATAGTAATGATGATTATGATGATTTTTAAAAATCTACCCCTCTTCCACCCATACCAAGGGACGGGTTTAATCTCAAGGATGACGGCAGCAATTAGGAATGGGTTCCGATGTTGCCTTTTGCAAATACCATGAACTTTGCATAATGTTCTAATGGTTTGTTTGTTCCACTTGCAAATATGTACATATTTTTATTGATTATCAATTTCAGTTGACAAAAACATACCCACAAATGGAATACAGAACTTAACAGTTGTTCAGAAAAGAAAGAAAGAAATCAGTTGATGATTGTGGTCTTAAAACGTTCCAAAGTAGGCAGTCAAATGAAGGTCCTTCACAGGGTTGCGTGTGTCAATGGAGGGTGAAAACCATGTTCAATTGTCTTAACAAAGTCAATAAAAGGATACCATGTTGTACAGAAGAAGTGAGTCCCTTTTTTCCAGATCAATGTTCCTTTCGTGAGGTGGTTTGTCCATAAGCACGATGTCCCATACTTGCAAAATTCAAGCTTCAAAAAGTTTTGCAGTTAAAGGCTTTCCAGTTCTTTGTTTATCACTAATCAATCTGCAACGAAGGATGAGATATTTATTAACTGTATTCTTAATCTGAAGAGTAAAATAAAAGGGCTAGTTTTGGGTCTCGTCATAGTGACTGTCCTATCATCTGATTAATTATTTGAAAAGGGAATGAATGGGGCAAAATGATTATTAGGAAACTAGGAAAATTGCATTCCTGCCAGCAGAGTTTGGATGTCTTGTTAATTTTATTCAATCTGATTGGGCATATGTGCTATTTTTAGAGCATTTTCTCAAGTCCTAATTGAGAGAGATCCACATGGTAGTCTAATCCAATTTTGTTTCCATAGTTGTTCCTCTATCTCTTCTCCACAATATTTTCCCCATTTTATTCTTAATAAAATGAAATAAGAGGAGGGGTAGCAAGAGGATTTTATATAGTTGGGAAATGATTCCTTTTTCCAGTGTGTGGTAAGGTAAAGGTAAAGGTACCCCTGCCCGTACGGGCCAGTCTTGACAGACTCTAGGGTTGTGCGCCCATCTCACTCAAGAGGCCGGGGGCCAGCGCTGTCCGGAGACACTTCCGGGTCACGTGGCCAGCGTGACATCGCTGCTCTGGCGAGCCAGAGCCGCACACGGAAACGCCGTTTACCTTCCCGCTAGTAAGCGGTCCCTATTTATCTACTTGCACCCGGGGGTGCTTTTGAACTGCTAGGTTGGCAGGCGCTGGGACTGAGCAATGGGAGCGCACCCCGCCGCGGGGATTTGAACCGCCGACCTTTTGATCGGCAAGCCCTAGGCGCTGAGGCTTTTACCCACAGCACCACCTGCATCCCAGTGTGTTGGTAGTATCAAATAATTGTTCAAAGCTGTTTAGGTTGAGTAGTGTCTGAGCCCTTAGGTTTGGTTGGTTTAGGAAGTGTATGATCCGTTGCATCTGGTCTGGAACTCCCCTTTAAAGCAGCATTTGATGACCCTGAAAAATAAGAGCAAATTCCTATGGGGAGCAGTATCAGTTGTGGGTCTGCACAGATAAGGAAGCCAAATGGTGTAGGCTTGTGTGGTCTTAAGGAAAATGCTTCAAATGTGCCCAAGGTGGATTAAGTCTCTGCCTCTTTGTCAGAGAACAGATAGCTTTAGGGGATATCAAAGGTTAGAACACACTGGACTTGATGAACCAGTTTTCCCCTTTCTCTTACTACTAGGAGAAAAATCTCCCCCCAGCTTTCACCATCAACTTCCTCTGCAGAAAAAAGAAATTTTAAGCTTCTACCAGTGACTCTCTGGGATGACAATAAAAAAAAACAAGGAACAGGGGTGTGCACACCATAATAAGCTTTGAGCCATCCCAAATAAATACAAGTTGGCACTCTGCAGTCAGAAGAAAGCACCACTGGGAGTTCAGTGGCATTTACTCCCAGGAAATGATGCATGGGATTGCAGTCATGCCGATCCTAATAAATTGGGCATTATGATATGTATTGCTGCTACCCACCCAGCCCAAAGCAGGGGTAAAATATATTATGAATCAACTCAACTGCTTTTCTTTTTGACTCTCCTTGGCGTGACTATGGGGCATCATCAGCTCCTGCTGTTTAAAATATGGACATGAGCGCTCATTTTTGTTTCAGTGGAAAGTAACAATAGAGCTGAGGTGGCCACCTCCTTCTCTTCTCCAGTTCATTGATTTCCATTTTTCATGAGAACTTAATAATGATTGTTAATTGGAAGAATACCTCTGGAGAGTTTACAACATTTGACGCTTTTTAGCTTAGAGCAAAGGTGAGGAAGATGAGTCATGATGGAGGTATATAAAATAGGTTGGAGACAGCAGACAAAGCAGCTTTATTCCTCATCAAAGCAAAGTCCGGGAAAATTCAATGAGGCTGAATGGTGGAAGATTCAGGATGGACAACAGAACCTACTTTTTCACGCAGAGTGTAGTTAAACAATGGAACACACTCCCACAAGAAGCAGTGATGGCCACCAACTTGGATGGCTTTAAAAGATAATTAGACAAATTCACGACTATGTTCGATGATGATGATGATATACCTGCCTTCACCCTAAGGTCTCAGAGCAGGTTACAACAATTTAAAATCTTTCTAACATTAAAATCCACTATCAGAGGCAGTAAACCTCTGAATGCCAATTGCTGGGCACCTGGTCGGCCACTGAGAAGAGGGCGCTGACCCAGGTGGATCATTGGTCTGATCCAGCAGGCACTTCATATGTGGAGCCATAACACATGCTCCACTTTTCTTTCCCAGAGGGTGGCAGCATCACCACGATAAACTGGCTGGGGAATTTCAAACATCTGGCTAGTACAAAAGATAGGCATTGCTTCAAAACAGGCAGTTCAAATTCTTGTCAATCAAGGATGTAGTGCTAGAAGAAGGAATTGTGGGATACATTTACTACTGTAGAAGTGAATTTTGCAGCAGCAACAAAAATGAAATTAAAGTTTTCCCCCCAGAGTTGACATAATATTGCACATTGCCTTAATGCTGCAAAAGAACGAAATCTTGACCTTGAGTTCACAGAACAGGAATTATTTTTTGGAGCTGCTTTCTAAACAGTTCTTTTTGAATCTCATTTGTCAACAAGTTCACTAATTCGCTATTGATTTGTTTCATAAAATGTGTACACAGCTTGATTGTAAAACAAACACACAAACAAACAAAGCTCAAAGTGGCTTACAAATGGCAGACAGCTTCACTGAAAGAAAGCTTACGTACGTCATTTCTTTGCTGTAACAGTTCCATTGGCTACTAGACAAACTTGACTGGCTCCCTCCTTGTTTGTCCCTCCACTGACAGGGGAAGACTTTCCTGTTTTTGGCATGGTTTTAATAGATTTTATATATGTCTGTAGTTATAAATTCCATTCATTTTGTTTTTAAATTATTGTTTTTCTGTGTTTTTAGCAGTTCTTGTTTTTATTTGTAAGCTGCCTTGTCAGAGAAAAAGGCAGTGTGTCAATAAATATGGGATGCGGGTGGCGCTGTGGGTTAAACCACAGAGCCTAGGACTTGCCAATCAGAAGGTTGGTGGTTCGAATCCCCGCGACGGGGTGAGCTCCTGTTGCTCGGTCCCAGCTCCTGCCCACCTAGTAGTTCAAAAGCACATCAAAGTGCAAGTAGATAAATAGGTACCGCTCCAGCGGGAAGGTAAACGGCGTTTCTGTGCGCTGCTCTGGTTCGCCAGAAGCGGCTTAGTCATGCTGGCCACATGACCCGGAAGCTGAACGCCGGCTCCCTCGGCCAGTAAAGCGAGATGAGCGCCGCAACCCCAGAGTCGGCCACGACTGGACCTAATGGTCAGGGGTCCCTTTACCTTTACCTTTTACAATAAATATAATAATTCACCACCACCCATCTTCCTTTGCCACTGGCTGGTACCATCAGGACAGGACTTTGGGCCCCACTCAGGGGAATTAGCAGGAGGGCCTCCAAACACAGCAAGGCTGGCTTTCCACATTTTGAAGTAAGTGAAGAAATACGCATTGCCACCTAAAGAGTATTCTCACACAAAAAAGACTAGTCATAGTCTAAAATTCTCTAGCTGTGCCCTCAGCTCATGTAGAACAAGGATGAACCCGAAAGGTTTGTGCTCCCAGAATCATCTGCACCGTGCTTTTGATATGCCTTCTTGGGGACAAAAGTGGCATTTCCTAGTGGCATTTCCCCACTAGGTGTGGGGAGTGGGGGAAGAAATGTGGTTCAATTCACATTTGAAGGCAAACCTACTCCCTAAGTAACACTTTCCTAAACACTCTGTGTACTGAAATACAATAATCCTTCAAAATTTGCTCTGAATTCTGCAATGCAGTTCTTTAGCCAAAATGCTAAAATGTATACGTTATGTACTGAAGTTCTCACCCTGGGCCAGCAGGGGGATACTGTAGATAGTTTTCACTCAGGTCCACATATGCAAATAAGGGATTGAAAGTGATGTTCAGTGATTGGATAGTTACAGAAAGTTGTTACAGTAGCGTTGTACTGGAGCTCTATATAAGCAGGCTGGCTGAACCCTTCAGTTCAGTTCTGGCTTCTGAATAAACAAGAGCTGTTTGAAGAACTGCTGTGTCGTCTGATATGTTCACCCCCAACTTAACAGTATACACTAGGGTAAAGTGTGCATATGTACAGAAGGGGAAACAGCTTTGCAAAAGTGCGTGTCTTAGGCAAAACGGCATAAGAAAATGTGTATTATGAGAAATTTGCAATAAAATGCTGGTGAAATTTCATGGGGATTTTTTTTTTTTAAGACCATTTGCAAACTGATGCGGAAATGTGGAGAACTGATGACTGGAAAAATCAGTAGCCAAAATTGACATTTTTGCCTATCCCTACTCCAAATTGTCACAGAGATTCTCCCTCTCCGTTTTGTGTTTAAGCAATGATTGAAGCCATTTTTATTTGGACAGGCTTTTAATGTTTAACTTTTCTGCTCTTTTAGGAATTTTCTGGCGACTGCCGTTCAGTTTTATGATCAGGTCTGATATGGTTTTTATTACAATTGCTACTCCCATGTTTTATTGCTGCCATTTCACTGAGTGACATATTATTTGGGGGGTTTTAATTGCATTTTGCAAATCATTCTGCATAAGCTGCTTTGAACAGTATGTAGAAAAGTGGGTAAGGAATAATGACAATGAATATGATAATCCATCTATCTCTAACATTCAGAGTGCGAGTGCTGTTGTTCATGGAGCCAAAACAACAACAACACCTACACTCTCTGTAGCCCTGGTAGAATTCCAAAAGTTGCAGAAATATTAAAATAAAAAATGAGGAGAAAGGACCCCGGGCATGGCAGGGAGTGGGGCCTAAACAGCCCTATGAGGTCTAAGTGGGCATGAAACACTGACTGGGTGGAAGTTGGATAACTTGAGAGAGAGTGTGTGAAAGCAGTGGAATGGCTGGAATCCTGAACAGCAACATTCGTTACTGCAACATTTTGCTGCGGATCCTGCACATTATTTGAAAGGGATTCTTGTAAGGAAGAAAACTGGAAAATCATCCTTTCTACTCTCTGCCTTGGAAGTCATAGGTTAGCAAGGCCGGAGAAAGCTCAACAGTAATAATGGCCCGACATCCTGTTTCCACAGTGGCCAACCACATGGCTATGGGAAGCTCAGGAGGACCTGAGCACACCTGTGGTTTCCAGCCACTGGCATTCAGAGCCATACTGCCTCCAACAGTGGAGGGAGAACACTCCCGGGTTGGCGCCATCGCCGAATGGCGGACTCCCTCCGAGCTCCGGAGGGAGTCTGCTCGGCAGGGCTCGGATTCTACCGCGCCGGCGATGCGGGGACCCTTAAAAACCACGGGCACGGAGACCGTGGACATGGGTGACTCGGCTGGCACCGTTAGCGTCCTCCCGACTCGTGAAGGAGCCTTTTTAAAGGCTACGGATCGGGTGCCGGGGAGTGGCGTGGTGCTTTGAGTCCTCTGCTTCCCCTGCCGAGCGAAGCCGCATGCCATCCGGTGGAGAGCGCCGACTTCTTCCATTGAAAATTCGGACTTTTAACAACAACCCGTGAGTAATCTGGCAACCGGGTTTTAAAGGAGAAAAAAAGGAAATTTTTTTCGGATTCGGCACGAGCGGGGGGGATCTAAAAAGGAAGTCAGTCCCCCCTCCCTATTGTAAGCATTTCAAAACAAGGACTGAGTAACCAAGGTCCAAAGAGAAGCGTATTTCGGATAAAAACCAAGAATTTCACGATGGGATATTACAAGAATTGTGCTGGAGGAAAAGAGTGGGGTGAGAAGGGAAACGTAACCCCCCCCCCAGGAACCGGGGCGACCCGCGAGAGAGCCTGGGGAAAAGAGAAGCAGACTTTGACAGCTGTCAAAGTGGCTGTCAAAGTCGGAAAGTGTAAAGAGGACTTTGCTATGAGGACTTTGCTAGTTAATTTCATTACAATTGGTTACGATTTGGATACAATGTTGAAAATATGGAATAACAATTGGACTTTTGGACAAGAGGAAACAAAGTTACTGCAACCCCCCTAGAGGAGTTTCGGGACATTACAAGAACTACAAGCGGAAAAATACTCTGGGAACTGAATAGGATTTGCTATCTCCTGAGAAAGCTGCAAAACTGAAAAAGTATTTTGTCTACAGGGGTGTTTACATTAAGGGAGACAATAGAATTCTCTATTGAAGAAAGGAAGGGACTGGACGTAAGTTTTTGTTCCTGAATAACAAACCCCTGCAGAGGCATCAAATTTTTGAATTAGAACGTTTTAGCAGCAGAACAGGACAAGAAACTTGACAACAACATGGAACAGAACAATGGGGGGAACCCCTTTGGGGTCTGTTTTGGATTGGATGTTTGAAATTTGGCATTACAAAAATAATATTTAAATTAAAAAGGGAAAAAAGGAAAAGAAACTGGCAAGGTGGAACTGATTGGTGTATGGATTAAAGATTTCCAGGCAGACAACAGACAGACAGATTGATGGACATGGGGAATGCGAACCGGGGATTGGGGGGGGGGAGAATCAGAATCCAAAGGCTGTGTAACTATTTATTTATTTTTTGAATCTTTTTTTTATATTATGCTGGGGTGTTATTAGTAAATGAAAAAGGGAATTCGTGGAATGAAACCAAGGGGGCCTTGGGGAGAGAATTTGTGATTTATATTTTTTCTTTGTTAAGGGAAAGATGATGATTGTATAATTTAAATTGGAATTTGGGGCTAAATAATTTAAGGTTTAAATTGGGAGTGAGAGCTTGTAGAACCAACATTATGAAAGGGGAATACAGTAGGGAGGGGGAGGGGGGAGTCCTGGAAAGTGGGCAATGAAAATTAGATTCTAAAAGTATTTCAATTTTGTCTTATTTTTATTTCTATTTTTTATTTTTATTTTTTCTGTATTCTGAAAATTTTAATAAATATGATTATAAAAAAAAAAAAACAACAGTGGAGGGAGAACATATCTATCATGGCTAAGAGCCGTTGATAAATAAGGATATATATATATAAATAATTCAAATACAGTGGTACCTCGGGTTACATATGCTTCAGGTTACAGACTCCACTAACCCAGAAATAGTACCTCAGATTAAGAACTTTGCTTCAGGATGAGAACAGAAATCACGCGGCAGCGGCAGTAGGAGGCCCCATTAGCTGAAGTGATGCTTCAGGTTAAGAACAGTTTCAGGTTAAGAACAGACCTCCAGAACGAATTAAGTTCTTAACCCGAGGTACCACTGTACAGGAGCTGGTGGGGGCTTGAAGTTGCCCATCCACAGACACAGATCACATGGGCACAGTCTTCCCCCCTTGGGTGAGATGTGTTGTTTTTCTATTTAAATTGTAATAATTATCTCTACATTGGTATCTGTATGTGTAAATCGCCACATACAAATCAGTGTCTTTTGCCATTTTATAGTGACATGTTTCCTCTTTTTTGACAGAGCATGAGCTGCCATCCTACTGCAGGGCCTCGGGTGTTTACAGGAGTCACCACTTGAAGAGATGCCCTAGACATAGGGGACTTTGTTCTGCAGACGATACGTTTTATTTAGCTATCATGAGGACAGGACAGTCCTAACCTTCACCTGATGCACTTTAGTCAGTGGAATCAGGGTCCAGCTGACGCATTTTGACCTGGTAATGGCAAAAACCTTGCTTACAGGGCAGTGGCCTCTGTAATGTGTAATTCTGGTGCCAACAGAAAAACAGCCTGTATTTCTAACCCCTATCTAGATATGCAGAGGCGGGGAATTTCTACCTGAACTGAATGCTAGGTCAACATTATCTGTGTGTCCCCCAGTTGGATTTTTCCCATTCCTGTGCCTAGAAAACTCCACCATTGCCACCTGACCCAGCCAACTTCAGCTCAAGCAAAAGGAGCACTCTGGACACAGGGCTAAAGTCCATTCCCATCATGCCTGTTTGTTTTCATAGCTGCAGGACATGGCAGACTGTTTGCGCTAAGCCCAGCCAAGGCCGCGGTTCCTGAACATTTTGGCCTTCGGTGACAGCACTGCATCTGTGGCAGTCCGCCATGGTGGCCTTGTATCAGGAAAAGCAGAGCGAGACCTGTGTTTGTGCTGTGGTAACTCATAGGCTGAGCAATGGCTATGACTACTTCTACAGCCTTGTTTTCCTGCAGCACAGGTGAGAGGCATGCAGGGCAAACTAAGACAATAATAAATCTCATTAGGTGAAATAGAGCTTCTAAGTAATAGGATTGGTGAGCAGCAGCAAACTTTCCTAAGGGAAGGAACGTAAGAGTTCTACTGGATGTTGTTCTCAGTGGCCAACCAAAAGGCTATGTAAGTGCACAATTGATTTGAGTACGACAGCACTCTCCTCACTCATGTTCCCCAGTAACTGGTACACAGAGGGATTCTACGCTGACCTGAATGTAATACTGTTATGAGTTGTCGGTGCAAGACACCTTAAGTTCCGAATCAAGCTAGTGTTAGAATTTAATTAAGGCCTGTGTGTTAAAACTGTGTGTCAGACTCCCACATTTTAGAATCTAATCAAGACCTGTGTGTATTGGGCTGTGTATCAAGATACCTCTTTAATCATGGGGAATCAACAAGTGTTACAAGCTAATTTAGTCAGGCTTATTACCTTTTGAGGTGATAGTTTGGGCAACACAAAGGATCAAGGGCAAATCGCATGTGCTAATGAGTTGGCTCCCTCCCTCCCTCAACTGAGAGTTAGTTTAAAAGACAATGCCAGTGTTAGGTTAGTGTTTAGGATTGTAGTTATGAGTTAAGCAACACCGATAGTAAGCAGTGGGCTGGAGAGGGAGTCTGGGAGCAATGATTGGGGTCTGCTTTAGTCTGAGGCTGCTGTGGCTATGGGAGAAGCCAGAACCTCTTGGGGTGTGAATGCTGTGAACTCCTCCATCGTAGGCTCAGGCTGTATATATGTGTAAATAAACCATATATCATAAAGACACCACAGTCTCTGCTGTGCCTCATTGTCCAAAAGGAAACACACGTACCCTGAGTAACTGCCTGGAACCCCTGGAATCTCACACTGCTGTGGAGATTGGGGTGGTGTATAACAATACATAACCATCATGATGACTAGTAACCACTCCTCAACTTGCCCTCCATGAGTATGTCTCATCCCCTTTCAAAGTTTTCCATGGCCATCACTACATCTTCTGGCAGCAAATTCCATGGTTAAACTGTGCCCTATATGAAGAACAACTTCCTTTTTTCTATTCAGAGTCTCCCACAATTCAGCTTCATTGGGTTAGCCTGAGTTGTTGTCTTGAGATGGAAAGCCTCTCCACAATGGAATGCACCTCTGTCCTGTTCTCCTGCCCTCGCCCAGCTAAAAAGCCATAACCTTTCTTCACAGGAGAGTTTCTCTACGCCCCTGATCATTTTGGTTATCTGTTTCTATATCTCTTCCAGTTTTAAAACCTCCTCCAAGTGAACCCAAGCTGTATACAATGTCATTCTCATTTTGCCTTGCAAACTTTGAAGTTGCTGTGGGAATAACACAGAACACACACACATCAACTGTGTATGCACCATACTTTTAACACACATTTAAAGCACATGGCTTTACACAAAGAATCCTGAGAACTGTGGTTTACCACTCACAGAGTTACGATTCCCTTCAGCCCTTAAAATGCCCAGAATTCTTTGATTCAGGTAGGTAGCCGTGTTGGTCTGACGCAGTCGAAATAAATAAAATGTCCAGTAGCACCTTGGAGACCAACTTAGAATTCTTTGAGTGAAAGAATGTGCTTTGAGTGTGCTTTAGTGGTATAAGACTTTTAAAGACACAATCTAAAAGACAAAAATAGGAGCTCTGGAGGGACAATGGTTTACTGGGGAAAGGTATAACCAAGGAAATTTCATGGTAAAACAGTTGAGGTGAACTTACTAAACTTGGATGTAAACATGTTAGATTCAGGCTGTACATTTCTTAGCAACTTTTTAAATTGCACATATCTTCTAACTTTTACAAACGGGAATGACCGCTTGTGAACTAAAGTTGGCTTTAGGCCTAAATCGATGGACTTTAACCCTTGAAGTCTGCGGAATAGAAGGTGTTTCTTTCTGATGACCTTGCCTTGTGCAATTTCCTGCATTGTTGATTGCTCCATAGGAAGGGCTTTAGGTGGACTTTCCCAGATGGGTTGTTTTTATCCTGCTTTGAAGATCAAAGGAGCCCCTGAATGCTAATGCTGAAATAAAGCAAAATCACAAGACTGGAGAGAGCCAGGAAAGATGTGGATTCCTAGCACTCCATGTCTTTCCATCTAGAACAAAAATGGAAAACAATATCTGGCCCTCCAGATATTATTGGACTCCAGTTCCCATCAGCCCCAGCCACCATGACCCATGGTCACTGTGGGTGGAAGTTGTAGTTCAACAAACATCTGGAGGGCCACAGGAGCCCTAGTCCTGACGTAGAAGCTCATGAGATGAAGATGCAATAGTCTGCAATCCTAAACACCTTGTCTGTAGGGCTCATTTCTGAGCAAGTAGAATAAGATTGTGCTGAGGTACATTTATTGTACGTATTGATTGATTGATTGATTGATTGATTGATTGATTGCATAGCATGGTGGCTAAGAGACTGAGCTACAAACTAGGGGACCCAGTTCTAATCTTTCATTTACTATAAACTCACTAGGTGGTGGTGGTGGTTGCCAGGACTGGCATACGTTATTTTCATTTCAGTTGTACATTTGGGTGTGATTAATTCTCCTACCACCACCATCACCTTTTTGAAAAGGACACATTACTTAACTACCTCCCTGTTGCTTTTAAAGATACAATATTCAGGAATTCTAAAACTGAAGAGCTGGAGAACATCAGACTCAAAGCATGTTTAATGTTTGTTGTGTGAGGCTGTGAACAGCCCTGGACTGAAATGTGCAGTGTCAAGAAATCCATCGGACGACCTTGGGCCAGGGCCAGTTAAATCTCCACCTGCAATACCTCGCAGGGTTGTTGTGATGGCACTCTGGGTTTATTGGAGGAACGTCAAGATGCAACTTTAATAAACAGATAAAACGCAAGCAAGCAAGGCTTAGCGGTTCTCAACCTGTGGGTCCCCAGATGTTGTTGAACTACAACTCCCATCATCCCTGAGCTCTGGCCTTCCTAGCTAGGGGTGATGGGAGTTGTAGTTCAACAACATCTGGGGACCCACAGATTACAGCGCAACCCCACACGCCTGCTCAGGAGTAAACCCCATTGAGTTCAATGGGGTGAACTCCCATGGTAAGCGAATACAGAGCTCCTGCCTTAATTCGTTATTTCAAGCCATAAATAAACACCAAGCCTCGGTGCGACCAACGTGGGAGCTTTAGACTCCGCGCGCGTCCGGAATGAACGAGAGCTTTCTAGAGCTTCCCGTCGTCCTTCGCGAGCATCGGAAAACGGTAACCACGGAAACGGACGCCAAACGGAGCCCAACACCGCCACCAACGGTTCGTCCCCTGACCTTCCCTTTTATCTCTGATTGGACGAAACGCTTGCCAGTTAACGCAGAGAAGCCGGCGGTTGGCCAGAAGCCTGCCGAGGAACGTGTTCGGCGAGTGCGCGCTGTTTCCGCTTCCGGGGGCGCCACTGACGGAGCGTGTTGGTAACAGAGGAGCAAGGCCGGAGCGTCTGTGGTCGAAGCTGAAATAAGAGCGAAGCGGCTAAGCGGGCGATGGGGGCCAGCGGGGAGGATGGGACGGATAGCGAGGAGCGCTTCGACGGCATGTTGCTCGCGATGGCCCAGCAGCACCAAGGCGGCGTCCGGGAGGTAAGATGGAGGGCAGGAAGGGAGGCCCTTCATCCGAGTTCTCCTCCCGCTCCGCCGTTTAACGGTCTCCCTTCCTGGAGTCTCTCTTTCGCGAACCCCCTTGCTGGCCTAGCCGCCTTTTCCCCTCCCCCTCAGGATTCCCCTTCTCTCCCAATACCGTTTCCTGGTGAAGAGCAGCAGGCGACAGCTGCTGCCCGCATGGCATGAAATGCAACTGATGGCCACCAAATTGGATGACTTCACCTTCCTCTTTCCCTCCCCTGCATCTCCCCACACCTCCTCCAAATATGCTCCAGAGGAGTGGGGAATCTCTGGAGCAATTATTTTGGACATATGCGGTGAGGGCTGAAGGGTTGCTCCAGGAGTGGGAGGCAACATCTCGTCGAATTTTTTGCCCAATTACTTTAACCCACTGTGTTCTGACACTGTTTTATTATTTCTTCTAGGTCAAATTTATGGTTCATCTAACTAGTATCCTGTCTCTAGGAGATGCATTGATAGCCAGCATAGTACTCACTTTGTTGCTTGACATAATGGAAATGTGTGAATGCCTTGCATTAGATATTGGGAGAGGTCCAGAAGCACCATGAAAAAGTTTGAAATGGTACCTTCAAAGTACAGGCGCACACACACCTCTTAGTGCATTCTGCCCATCTGCAACTGCATATAGGCACAGTGCCAGGAAATAAATAAATAACTTTAATCCTACCAGGAAATGGCAGGAGAGAGCTGGAGAGTCCTCGTGGCTTGTGAGAAGACCCTCCCTGGAGCCCGAAGAGGATGTCACTGAAAGCTGAGGATGCCCTGCAGAGACTGGAGGCACAGCTGGGCTTTGTTTAGGCTGCTCAGCCTGACAGCTGCTTTTCTGCACAGCCTCCATCTGGCCCCAGAGCTTCAACTTTAGATATTTTGGTCTGGATTGGAGAGCAGGGGGAAATAGGCATGCAGAGGGTGTTCCCCACTTTACATGATTTCACTTATACGTGTGGAGGTCCGGAAAGTATTCTCTGCATAAGTGTGGGGATGCCTGTATGTGGTTCTGTGCAATGTAGAAAGCACCTGTTTAGACAACACAGTAGGCTTTTTGCATAAGACCACCCTTCAGTATTATGTGATGCTGATTTATGACATAGGAGGAAATTCCTTTGTTTTAATGAAAGATAACAGCATAGACCCTAAAAATCCATTTCTTGACAAGAATCCAACTTCTGTTGCCATTCAAGGATACATAAAATGTTGATCTGAGTGTGCCATAAACAGACAGCAAAAGATGTTAAGATCACATGTACGGACATCATTGTAATACACTTAAGTTTCATAAAGCAAAAGTTTCCAGTTTCATTTATATTGACCTCTATAGAAAACAGTTTCCCCTTATAATATTAAAACTCATGGTCACCTTATAACAGGTGCAGGACTGGTCAAAAGAACTGTTTTCCAAAATAAATTTATAGGATGATGGTCACAAGCTTAGATAGCTTTAAGGAGGATCTGGCAAATTCATGGAGCAAAAGCCTGTTACTATTAGCCATGATAGGTAAATGGAAGCTCCAAATTTTGTATGGGTGGGGAACCCATGATCTGTCAACTATTGCAATGCCAACTTCCATCAACTCCAGCAGCCAGAGATGGTGGCAATTTTAGTTTTGTAACATCTAGAGGGATACTGGCTGCACATCTCTGCTCTATAGAGCCAGTATCGGAATACTTTATGCTGGAGAGAAAGCCTTTTTCACATTCTGCTTGTAAGCACCTAAGTGGCATCTGCCTTGCTGCTGGTTCCTAGGTTACATGGATCTTAGCCTATTGAAGTCCTTAGGAACTGTGACCATAGACTTATCTAAATGTTTTTGAACTAGCTAGCTTCTAGATAATTATTGATTTTTGAGCCAAACAGTGGTTTTCCATCTTCTGGGTTGTTGGGCTTGATAATAAAGCAAATCACACTGCAGTTGAGTAACGTGATTTGCTTCTAGGGTTGATGGGGATTGGTATCTAACAGCAGTTGGAGGGCGATGGGTTTCCCGCTGTTATGAAATATTGAGCTTCCATTTAGCTATCATTATGGTAAATAGTGCTTTGCTCCATGAATTTGCCAAATCCTTTTTAAAAACTGACTAAGTTTGTGGCCATCACATCATCTTGCAGTGGCAGTCAATCTTATATATATATTGTGG